CTCCCTGTCCCCTGACTGCCCCTGGAATCCCTGCCCCTGACTGCCCCCCCGCTACCCCCATCCAACCCTCCCTCCTTCCTGACTGCCCCCCCCAGATCCCTGCCCCCATTCAACCCCCCTGTTCTCCTCCGACCTACCCGACCCCTATCCACCCCCCTGCCCACCCCCCCTGAACTCCCCTGCCCTCTATCCAACCTCCCCTGCCCCTTTACCGTGCTGCCTGGAGCACCGGTGGCTGGTGACGCTACAGCCATGCTGCACAGCACAGAGCACCGGTCAGGCCGGGCTCTGCAGCTGCGCTGCCCCAGGAGCTCTCAGCCCCGCCGCCCAGATCATTGCGCCAGCGACGGGGCGCGCTGAGCTCTGCAGGGCAGGGGGAACAGCAGGGAAGGGGCCGGGGGCTAGTCTTCTGGGGCAGGAGCTCAGGGGCCGGGCAGGAGGGTCCCGCGGGCTGAATGTGGCCCGCAGGCTGTAGTTTGCCCACCTCTGCCTTAGAGGTCTTTCAGGGCTAAGTACTGAAGACCTTGTTCAGATCTTACTTGAACAAAACTTCCATTGATGTGGATAGACTCTGCTTGAACAGGGGGAGTGAAGACACTCGTCAAGAGTTGGCCTAATGCATTATTCCAACAGATTGATGCTCAATTAAGAGATACTTTGTCATTTGAATGACATGGGGAGAGGTTGAAGCAGACACAATCTACTTTCTTTCTGAGCTACTTAAGCCATTTTGGTAGTACTCTGTGAACTTGGCTGTTATGTTTTAACCATCTGTATTTTTTCCATCTCAGTACACTCAACTCATCCATCTCCTGTATTTTGTCAAATTTCACTTCTTTGGCAGTCTGATTTGACTTCCTGACATTCTACCCATAGATATCAGGATCTCTGAGGAACAATTTCTTAGAAGTTTAGTTTACTTCCGACTGTTACTCCTCAGTGCTCCCTGTTGTTAACCCAAACTGCTTGTGTTCTTCTATTTCCCGTTCTATAGTCTTGCAAGTTTCTTTCCTGAGGCTCAAAATATGTTTGCTGATTGAGATGTAGGGCCTGATAATGTTCCTTGTAGATGGTATTGGTCGAACATGTTCATGTTCTTACTGTGCATATGTATCCATTCTGGTATCCACTTGGTACACCTGCAACTAGAATTTGCTAATACTGTTAACTTGGTATTACTTTGTGTACTTAAAGTAGAGAATGCTTCTCCCCCCGCGCACCAAAATAAACTTAGTTCAACCCAGTATTTGATTTTCAAAACTCTGGGCCAGAACTCTGCTCAGTGTAGTGGGTTGGCTTCATGCAAGGCAGCTATTTCAGTAGCCATGGACAGTGCTTTCTTAAGTAGTGTTGTGGCTTGTTTAAACTGTTGGGTTACTGTCCACAAGCAGCCAGGATGATGCTACCATGCGCTTGAATGCTGGAGACTGTATGCCTTAAAGAGGTACAGTACAGACCTGTTTACACACGACCCGTTTACGTGCAGTAGCGCCATGTCTCCCAGTGCTACCTATTTAACATGCGAGACTTGTTAACACGCGGTACAGGAATTTGATATGTAGTGCTACAGATTTGCTCACTAACTCACTGACAGAAATCGACAGGAGGTGCGGAGCGGAAATGTGTTGTACGTCTTTACCGCTGACGGGGGGTGGTGGAGGGGCAGCAACGGCAGGGCCGCTGATGGAGGAGGCAAAAAGGGCAGGGACATTAAAGTGCTTTAAGGACGGTCCTTTGCCACGGCAGCGCTGGGCCGCCGACAGGAGGGGCGCAGCAATAGTAAAGCGCTGCTGCGTCAAAGGACCTTCCAGTGCTTTAAGTTCCCTGCCCCCTTTTGCCCCCCCATGCCGACGGGCGGTGTGGGGGCAAAGGGAGCAGCTTCCCCGGGGCTGGCAATTTAAAAGGGCCTGGGGCTCTGGATGCTGCTACTGCAGCAGTGGTGTCCGGAGCCCGGGCCCTTTAAATCACCACAGGAACCCCAGGCAGCGCGGACCAGGCGGCCTGGAAGGGCTGGCTGGGGGATGCTGACCCCTAGCCCTGCCCCTTTCAGGGGCCAGAGCCGCCCCCACCCTGTACCTATAAGTGTCCTGAGTTACTTTCACCCCTGTGTAGTAGTAGTAATGTTTTTGTTAGATTACACATTTGAATTTATATTCTTGCAAAGCGCTGTTAACAGATAGGCCTGCAGTATTTGGGATGCTGTGAATACGTATGTAATCTTAGATAATTATACATGTGTGTATATGTAGATATCTTAAGATATTTCAGCATGGCCCTCTTAACCCGCGGTCCGTTAACACACGGTCGTGACATCTTGACTCCCGACATCCGCACGTAAATGGGTCTGTACTGTATTGTGAAAAAGGTGCTGTTGGCTTCTCACCCATCAAGCTGCTATTTACTAGCTCCACTGTGTGGCCCTCAGGCTAAATGTTCCTTTATAGCCATCTGAAGGGCATTTAGTAAGGCTTTTAATTAATGGAGAGACTATCACTTATGACCTCCCCTGCCCACAAGACAGGTACGACAAACGTTTTCTAGAGTTATCAGTAATTATTTTGGTGCCCCACTGAAGGTGCGTTAGAGGGGCTAATTTTCAGAGTGAGTGCTCAGCATTCTTATACATCAGGCCATGTGAGGTTTTTCAAGTTAGGCATCCAGAATCATTACCCAGTTCTGATATTGTTGCTTGTATGCATTGACTTTGTGTCCCTTAATGGTCAAGGGCCTTAAATGAAAACTGAGTTGAGTCACTTGTTGAGATTATGGCATAACTTCATCTACTTCAGTGGTCCCCAACTGTGGGGCATGCTCCCCAAGGGGGATGCAGAGTAGCATTCGGGGGCATGCAGTGGCCCGGACAAGCCCCCATAGAGGGTGGGGAAGGAGCATTACCCAGCCCCAGTCTGCCCCCAGCTCTGCTCCTGTCCTACTCCCAGACGCAGCCCCGGCCTCGTCTCCCGGCCCCATTCCCAGTCCTGGCCTTGCCCTTGGCTCCTGGCCCCAGCTGTGGCTCCGCTCCTGGACCTGGCTCCTGACCGTCACTCCGAGAGGGATGCGGGGCATGGACAGGTTCCATTTCAGGAAAAAGTTGGAGGACCACTGGTCTACTTGATCCAGTTCCAAAAAGGCTGTATCCCCACTGATGAGAGAATGGGATCTAGATTCTTAAGTGGGTATAACCTTCTGATCTTAATGAACATTTATGTAACATAGACATACATATAGACCTTTTGACATTTAAAGGAGACCTTATAATAGTGTTTCTCAAACTGGGGTCGCCGCTAGTGTAGGGAAAGCCCCTGGTGGGCCGGGCCGGGCCAGTTTGTTTACCTGCCCTGTCCGCAGGGCCGGCCAATTGTGGCTCCCACTGGCCGCGGTTTGCTGCTGCAGGCCAATGGGAGCTGCTGGAAGCGGCGGCCAGTATGTCCCTCCGCTCACGCCACTTCCAGCAGCTCCCATTGGCCCGGAGCAGCGAACTGTGGCCAGTGGGAGCCACGATCGGACGGACCTGCGGATGGGGCAGGTAAACAAACCGGCCCAGCCTGCCAGGGGCTTTCCCTACACAAGCGGCGTCCCCAGTTTGAGAAACTCTGTCCTATAAGATATTGGAGGGTTCTCACACCAGTGTCTAACTTATATAGTGAACATGGATTAATTTAGTCTATGTGACCTTTACCTAAGTACTTGCATGTTTAATATAACAGCTTTCATTAACACATGTATTGCATTTTGGACATAAATAGTAGTGCAACCTGAGAAGAGGGCTGTAGTACAGCAGCTAAATTGATCCCTGTAGCACAGCAGACAAGCCAGCATTGAGAATCTAACTTTGCAAAGCGAGTGGAAAGTCATTGAGACAGGATATTAATCTTTCTACAAATATACCAAGAAAGCAGGAAGTTTCTTTTTTGGCAGTGGGTTTGTTTTATTAGCATGATTGGCTGAGTCACTATTAGATTTACTGGTGTCAAATTATAAGTGAATGGTCTCTAGTAGACAAAAGGACTAACATCAGGCTGAATGTGAATTAAGTCAACACAGGCGAGCGAAGTGATGTTGCTCAACTTGGGGAAGGGATTAAACTACTTATTCAATAATGTGCCAGAGTGAGTTGCATTACCTGGTAGATGGTTGAAATATTTTTAAAGTGATGCATACAACGGATTTTCCCATAGTAGAAATGCCTGGGAAGCTGTCTTGGAGTTGCAGTAGTGGGACATGTTAATTGAATGTTAATGTGGAAATAACATGGTCAATGTGAACTGTTTCAAGTGTTAGATGCTAATTAAGCAGTTGAGTTCCTTCTAGCTGCTGTGTGCCCAAGAATGTAGCACAATAAGCTAATCAATCTTTTAAGAAAGCTCCCCTTGTTCTGATTGCATTTCATGGGGTTTTAAGGGAGAATGCTGTAAAGAGGATTTTCAGTCCTAGAGTCCACTGAAATCTAAACTTGCTCTTCTATGTGAGTGGTGAGCTGGTGTCACATTCCAGAGTAAAGGTGAAATCCATTCTACTTTCCAATGTCCAGAATTATGTTTTTAGAAGAGTCTAATATCAAGTAGGTTTGTATTGAATAACTTGTTGCTGTAGACATGCATGCTATATGTTTTATATTGAGATACAGAGCAGTATAACTACTGTTAGGTGCAGAATTGCAAACCTGTGGATTTTGCATGTGAAACCAGAAGTAGTATGTCACTACTATAAATGTGCATGCAAGCAACCTTTTAGATGGCTGGGCTAGCAATTTGTACAGTTTATTGCATTTGTGTGCTCAATTGCATATATGCATTTGTGTGTTCACAAGCCTCCTTGTCCACAATGCGGGCCTGAATATCAGCCCTTATTTTACATAACTGTAGCAAAGTTGATGCTAATTATATTAGTTAGTGGTTCAGTGTGAACTGTCTATGGAGGATTACGTTATCTCTTTGAAGAACTGCACAGATGGAGAATACATAACCAGCTTCCCGAAACTCTGCTTATGTAATCTGTCTTCTGGTTCACCTCCCCTCCCTCTCCCTTTAGGAACGGATATATAAAACCATTTTCAGTTGGAGTTAAACAAGGCATGTGGTTATCTGATGGCTGTCAATTACTCACACTGACACAGAGTAATAATAGTTGATCATTATTTTAATGAGTCTTTATGCAATTTGATTAGCAAATCCTCTCCTTCCTTGAAGTTAGTTTATAAGGGAGCTCTTGGCACCTACCAGGGAAATGATCCATGATAGAGGAAAAAGAGAGCCTTCCTGCTGCCCTATAACAACACCGTCTCGCTTCTCCAGGGTTCCATTAGCAAGTTACTGTTGGTGGTGGTCCGAGCCAGGCTCTGGAAACACGACACTTTTTGCCTCATTATCTCCTTCTAGGGTTGAGCCAAAGGTGAGGGTGAGAGTTATGACCGTTACAGTGCGATCTTGGGAACTGTAAATTTCTTGTGCATCCAGTGGCTGAAGCTTTTCCAAGAACCACAGTGGATGGAGACATTTTCAAGGAGTAGGGTGCTAATGTATGTTCTCAGTCTGGTCCAAATATAAGAATTTCTCAGCAGTCTCCTCCTACTTATACATCTGCTGTGCCACTAATTTTATTTAGCCACACACCAGAAGTTTTTCCTCCCATTACCTGGAAGCCACTGTATGTCTCTCTGGTATTAATGCTACACATTAATAAAGCACAGGAGTGTGTGGCAGGATGGGGGGAGGAGTTGGGAAACCAGCCACAATATGGCTAGACTGAGCAGTATTTGTGTTTGTATGCCAGTTAGTTTACCAAAAAACCCCAAACAAATCCCAGTCTCTTTTTGTGGAACCAAGCCTTGTATAAATACAAAGTGACATCATGCTAACTAAACCTAGGAGGGAAGCCTGGTCTCTAATTCAGCCAGGTTATCACATATTAAATAACAAATGCTTTGTCTTTGCTAGAGTTTTGAGTTTTAGATGAGTTAGTTAAACTGAGCTAGCAACTGGATCACACTTGTTAAATCCTAGTCTAGACAAAGCTGTAGTACAGCTTTGTGCATGGATATTCTTCAACTGATTTGAGTGTCCCCACTTGAGGGGGCTGTTAAATCAATGCACAGACTGTACAGATAAAGCCAAAGTAAAGACTGGGTGATAAAGTTGCACTAGTAATGCCAGTATATTTTGATCCGACTCTTGAATTGTCCCTGGTGTACTTCCATTGGATCAAACTCTGCTTACTTGTTAAAATCTGCCTTCCCTTGCTGGGCTCCGAGGTCTCCCCTTATCACTTTTCTCGATAGGTTTTTGGTTCCTTCCTGTATAAGTTAGAAGGAGAGAAACCAAAGATGAAGGTGTTCTAACCACAACGAAGTTCCCAGTCTCGCACCTGGTACCTGGACTAATTGTTCATTTGGGCTTGATCTACTTGGTGTCAAAGCAGCATGCTTCACAGCCACCATGGTAAACTAGGAAGTGGAGGTAGTGACTGGGTGTGGTCTAACTTCCAATTTGTGTCTCAGTGAATGCAAAACAATTCTTGGGCTTGCTTCAAGGATGGCTTCTCTGTTGAAAGTGTGTGGTTAGGTGGAAGTGATTTAACTTGCCTGCGGCCAAGCCTGGATCAGATCTTAGCCATCCTGACTCAGACTCTTCTGCTCTTCCCAATAGACAGGTTTCCTGTCTAGCCATTACTCTGCTCCATCCAAGCCTTCTTGTAGGTTAAAGCCAGAAGAGACCATTGTAATGATCTAATCTGACTTCCTGCTTGACGCAAACCATAGGATTTGTCTTGCAATTTGTGCATTACATAGTTTGAATCTTATGATATGTAAAACAGTGATACCTGAATTTGATTAAATACAAAAACTTGCTAGAGTATAGAGGATTTATTTAAATCCTTGTATTCAAAGGTCAAGTTAAAAACTAACAGAATAATGATGCAGCATAGCAATATTAAAAATACTCAACCATCAGTGACATGAGATGTAATAAAGGTTGCTTAAGAATGATATGACCCCAGATATGTTATACGTAACCTGAAACTCACCAAAAAAGGTCTGACTTGGCATTTTTGAGCAATCACATAAAGTGGTTAAACTCTGGCTTCATGCTCCATGGCTGTAAAATTACTGTGTTCACTAGAACTGGAGATGCACCCAGAAAACAAGTACATAGCAAAGAAAATGGAGAAATGATACATATCCTTTGCAGAGCTGAAGAAGATTTTTTTTTTTCCCCACAGAAAACTTTTGACTTTTCAGCCCCAAACTTCCCATTGAAAGCAGTAACCTTCATTTAGAAAATGCTGCTGTGGTACCTCATGGGAGTTGTAGTTTGGGTACCTCATGCTCCTAGTGTTGTCTGTGGGCCAGGCTTCCTAGCTGGATTATAAATGCCCGTGAGACACTGCAGTAGGCATTTCTGAAACTAAGGGTTATGTCTACACTGCACAATAAACCCGTGTCCATGTGGCCCATGCCTGCAGACCTGATCTTTCCAAGCTCAGGCTCGAGCATCTGTGCCGAGTTGCTATGCAAGCCTCATACCCCTTCCCGTGCATCCATACTGTGCTCTGCAGACAAAAGTCAGACATTATGGCTTCTGAGGGTGTATTCCAGGGTTCTTACTATCCTCACTAGCTATAGGTACTCTGGGGATTAGTTCATGTGTATTGTGGGCGAAATAGTCTGTCCATCCTGTGGCACTTGACCAGAAATGCCCTTAGCCCACCAACACATCCTTCTGAGCCATTGTGCACATTCCCTGGAACGGATCCAGCACTGGTGGAAGAACTTCTCTTGCTCATACTTTCACTCCTATTTTGGCAGAGCATCTCTGAACTGCTGCTGGACATTTCGGCACTAGTATATGTCTTATTGAAGGCAACTCTCATAGGGGTACAGACATGGTAGCTGCAACCCGGCTGAGGCTGCACATGCCTGTTGCAATGACTGCAGATTCCCCATATGTAGACTGCTGTCTCTGGAGCCAAGCCATGAGCACAGATCAGTGGCATTATGTGGACCTGGAATGACCTGCAGTGACTCTGGAACTTTTGTGTGAAAAAAACAGACATATTGTAGTTCTCATACTTAAATTGCGCCACACTCCTCCTACAATTTTTGGGACTGGGGTAGCTCAGGAATGTTATTTTTTAATTAAATGTTTAGCATTTTTTAGGAACTGGTCTTGTACTTCAATCCACAGCTTATGGAATACCGTGATGAAGTTCCATTGTAATAAATTTCATAAATCCCACTTACGTAATTGTGTCTGCAAATTGAACACTTTATTTTAAGCATGCATGTAAAGAATGTAAAAACCTGGTAGGCAGACCAGCTGCCATCAAGATATAAAGAACAGTACCCAATACCAGTACAAATTAGGAAATCAAGCAAACAAAAGTGCAAAACAGTCAAACTACGTACACTGTCGCCATACCAGTTTCAGTGTTTCTGGAACAGTCTCTCTCACCTGTTTTGTTTGGCCCTTCTGGTGCAATTAGTATACATGGGCCACAATTGAACCGGATGTGGAGGAATGTGTGATGCTGCACCTCATATTCTTCATAGTGGTATAATTATGATATGATTGAGATGATTATGCTGCATCTGGTACAAGATGTGTCTGGTGAGGTGTTTATGGAAAAGTTATGATTTGCTGAACATGGTTATCCTATTTTGTGTGCATGTATCATTTTTGTATCTGAAGTTATGAATATTGACTATCTGTATTTCAATTGTGCTTACTCTGAGCGACACCCACAAGTAGCCTTTCAGATACAACAATGAAGAAGCTAGACAGCGCTGATAGCCCATCAGCAAAGACAATGGAACATGGAAGAGCTTAGCCTTCCAGTGAACCTTTCAGCCTGCCCATGAGTAATGGCTGCTGTGACCAGACCACATGACACTGAACTCCATTTTGGTACCTGTATTTTTCCACAAACTGAACTGGGAACTTAGCTTGGAACAAAGGGTTCCTGCCATATGGAAAAGCTATAAAAGGTGAGATGTGACATCATTTCTTGGCCTCACTCCCCACACAAGAGAACTCCTGGAAACACCTGAGGAACAAAGGCCGAACTAGGAGGAAGTGCTAGTCCCAGGCTAAAGGGATTTCTAGCCTGTGTATGGAAACTTGGTGAATTGCTTGTATCATCAGTCAGGATGAGAAATTGTTAATTCAAATCCTGGCTATCTAGTATGTTAGGCTTAGTTTGCATTTTTTTGGTCTATTTGCTAGGTAATCTGCTTTGACCTGTTTGCTGTCACTTATAATCACTTAAAATCTATCTTTCTGTAGTTAATAAACTTGTTTTATGTTTTATCTGAAGCCTAGTGTGCCTTTAAGTGAAGTGTCTGGGGAAAATCTTAGCTCTGTGAACAAAGGCTGTTGCATATCTTTCTCACATTGAGGGGAAGGTGAACTTTATTAATGAGTTTACATTGTACAAATTCCTGTGCTGTGCAAGATGGTATAATTTTGGGTTTATACTCCAGCATGGGTGCAAGGTGGGGGAGCTGGGAAATTGGCTGTTAGTCCTTGAGTGGCTTAGGTAAAGCACTCAGGTAGCTCAGTGATAACAGGGTTTGGAGATACAGCCAGCCTCACCAACAAAGGAGTGGGGGAGAGGCCTGCCCTGCTGGGGGGTTAGAGCCCACAGTGGTTCCCATGGCTCCCAGACTGCACCCAGCGGTGACAACCTGTCATAGAATGTAGAAGGGTACATTTGACGGTTCCACTTACCGTTTGTTACTTAAGCCATTGAGCAGTCAAACCCAGGATTGTCCAAAGGCTGCGCAGGCTACAGGACATGGTAATGTGGAGGGGACTCGGTATGTGGAGTTAGATCCTGAAGCCTGGTGGTGAGGAGAGTGAGCAACTTCTCAAAAAGCTCCTTCTGCTGTGCTCTGTCTTCCTCCCTCAGCCACTAGTCATGGTCCAGGGACTGTGCTGCCAATCTCTTCCTTCTCTCTCTGATTACCAAGCTGTTCATTGGCTTTAGTCAAAATGTCTAGCATTTCATCCCTCACTCTTCCTTTTTGTCTGCTGGTTGAGAATCTGCTTCTCGAGGCTACTGGTTCCTTGTCACTGCCCAGCAGAGGTGGAAGGGCCTGCCAAGGAAAATGAAAGAACACATTATTGCCTGACCATGATGAAAGAAAGACATGTCTACTATTTTATTTTATTCAAACAAAAATACCCTGTTGAGAAGCTCCTGCAAGCTGTGCTTCAAGCCATGGTACGATGCACATACCAAAAGCAACAAAAATCATTTATAAATCCCCCACAATATTTTCCAGGGGGTGGATGGGTTCCTAAGAAAAGGATCCCTTTCACTAGCAATGGTTTTATAATCCTTTCAGGCAGGGAAAGCTTTGGAGGACCTTGTGCTGCTGGAGGTGTCTGAGTGGAAGTGTGCTCATCTCTTCCAGGCCAACAGAGGAGAGACATCCATCTGTACTAAGGAGATTTTTCTACATCGGGTGACTGGCCATCATGTCTGCGAATGGAGGAGGCTTGTGAGCTACAGAGGCTGCCCTAATAAGTATGCCTTGCCCTGGAATTGAACTAACCTTCTGGAGTTCCTATTCCATGAGAAGTTCGCATGTGTCACCATCAAGCAATGGGTGAAATTTATGGCACAATCAATAAGGTGCTGATTTTTAGGATGGAAACGCATTATGGCTTCAAATCATCCGACATTCCTGCACAAACCTGACCGGCAGCCCAAGACTAAATACTTCCTTTGCTACCGTGTGGGCTCATGATATAAATACATCTTCCGCTACCATTTGGACTGATAGTACAGGCAACCCAAGACGCTTCGGCTGTGGGCAGTCCGAGTGGCTCATTTCTAAGCTGTGCTGTACTTGCAGGAAAGAGAATGTAAGGTTCATAACTCTAATACCCCAATTCATCTTTCTAACAATAAGTTACAAAAAATTTAATGCTTTTGAACATTTTTCCCCCCCATTTCTCAATATCCATTTTGTATCCCATGTGGTGGCAGTGGGCAGAGGGGCTGCGGAAGTGGCGCAGCTTCCACAGATGTGCACTACGACCTTCTGCTTGGAATAATAATTTAATTGGACATAACCCAGAAATCCTTCCCACTCTTATTAACAGCAAAAAATGATAGAGGCCAAAACATACAAGGCTCTGGCTGCGGTGCTGCTTCTGCTGCCTCTTCAGCTGCTCCCCTGCATCATCCCCAAAGAGGTCCTCTGAGTATGGACCGTAGTGTCAGCACCAGGGTTATTTTGAGTGCTAGATCTGGCAGCTGCAAGCTGTTCTCAGATGGTGCCTTTGATTGTGGGGTTATAAGTACGCCATCCCTGGATGCAGCATTGTGGGCTCTGTTTTTGGTGGAGTTCCCAGCACCTGATTGAATTCCTCATAGAATAGACAGGGAGTTCACTGAGGTGTAGTTCTCATTCCTGGTTTTGTGGTAGTGGGTCTTGAGATGGTTGATGAGCTCCTGGCCATTGGTCAATGGTCTGGCAATTCCACCAGCCTATCCCTGGTACTTTTGTACACATGCTCAAAGGATTTCTTGTGCTTTTGCTGAAGTCATGGGTCTTGTTCTTGTTCTCCTTATACTACAGTTTTACTAGAATACAGCTGTGTTCCTCTGGCCAGCTAGCCACACTTGCTGTAGGGCTTCTTCTTAGTGTTGGCCATAGCTAACACGTGATAAATTAACTAGTTTACAGGTGAGCAGTCTATGTGGAAAGGAATGGTTAAATGCTGAGCAGCTGTATTTGAAGCAGAAGATTGCTTCTGGTTCCTGGGAATAGAGTGGGAAGTTTGGGATAGAAGGATTAGGACACACAGGCCTACAGGACTGTGGAATAGCGTTGGCTGATTCTCCAAACATGAGCACAAGCCCAGGTTTCTATGTCCACACTGCAAAATGAACGGGCTTGGACCCACGCTATGGTGGGAATTGGGCTTAGACCCATACCTCTAGGCAGGGGTGAAAGTAACTTAAAGGAATTATTGATACGCTGGAGTCCTGAGCGGGAGTGTGATCTCAACTGGAAGAGGCATGGCCTCAACCAGAAGAGGCATGTCCTTTCAAAATTTAAAGGCCCTGGGGCTCCGGCTGTGGCTGGGAGCCCCAGGGCCTTTAAATCACCCCGGAGCTACCAGCTGCAGAGGCAGCTGGGAGCCCCGGGGCTCAGGGGTGAATTAAAGGGTCCGGGGCTCCCCGCAGGAGCCGGAGCACTGGGCGCTTTAAATCCCTGCCTGAGCCCGGCTGCTGGAGCTCCGGTGGGGATTTAAAGGGCCCGGGGCTCCCCGCAGCGGCTGAAGCCCTGGGCCCTTTAAATCATCGCCGTGGAAGCCAGTCCAGTCCGGTCCAGCGTACTGGCTCTTGCTGGTTCTCCATACCAGACCGAACCGGCTTACTTTCACCTCTGCCTCTAGGGCAAGGCTGCAGGACCAAGTCTTTAAGAGTTTCTGGCACACGTCAGAAGGGTTTGTGTGTGGATGGCAGAAGGGGTTGGGCTCAAACCTGTGTCTGAGCCCAGGTTTACTATGCAGTGCAGACATGCTCTAAGTGTTTTGGTTGTTAGTCAAAAGTTACTCAATGAAAAGTAGATGCTATTTGGGGGGGGAGGGGGAGGAGAGTTTCACTTTTAATCAAAATGAAACCCATAGAAAGTTTTGGTGGAAAACTTTTGATCAGCCCCAAGTCTTTGCTTTACGTAGCAGAAGCCTGGATTTCCAGAGTTTTGAGAGTCCGCTAATCATATCCCACAGTCCCCTAGGCCTGTGTGTTCCTTAATAAAGTGAAATCAAGGACAACAGACTAATAATTAACATCAAATATTCTTGGGGAAGTTAGCAGAAATGCCAAGGTAAGTAAAAGGAAACAGACATACTGTTACCTTAATAGATATCAAATAACGTACTTAAATAGTTAACCAAATAGAATCACTAAATTTTATATCATTTTTATATTATTAAAAGTTTAATTTAATTTACTTGCTTAAGTCCATACTGACCCTGAGCACTTATTGTAACTACAGACATTCTGGAATAGCAGTCAAACTATGTAGAGAATCAATAAGATTTAACTTGTGTGGGAGGATTTCCATTTGGAACTGGTCATGTAGCCTGTTAAAAAGCTTCATTAAGGTTCATTATAAAAGGATTCATCTCTTCCTCCTACGCAGTATTGTGTTTGGCACAAGAAATTCTGAAAACAGTTTGATTCTAGAGTTAGCGTCCACTGAAGCCTGGGTTCTTTCTATATATGTGGGCCAAATTCAACCTTTGTGTAAGCACATGCAACTCACACCAAAACTGGAGTTAGCTCAGTTTATCTACCCTGTTTCCCCGAAAATAAGACATCCTCCGAAAATAAGGCCTACTTACAGTTTTGCCTCTCGTTGTAATATAAGGCATCCCCCCGATAATAAGACCTCCCCGATAATAAGGCATCCACCGATAATAAGGCATTTTTCATTTCTGAAAAATAAGACATCCCCTGAAAATAAGACCTAGCGCATCTTTGGGAGCAAAAATTAATATAAGACACTGTCTTATTTTCGGGGAAACAGGGTAGTTGAAATGTGTTCCATGTTAATCTGTTCTCAACTAGTCTGTCTTGAGGGCTTTGGATTGTCTTGTTTTCCAAAAGGGTAAGATCAGTTAAATTAGCAATGCTTTAATTTCACCATGGTTGCAGGGAAGAGTTTAACTGTAAGAGACCTTTCTGGTAAATTTTTTACTGGTGTCACTTCATCACTCTCTAGAATCCATGCTCAGCCTGAAGTTCATAGATTCATAGATTTCAGTGCCAGAAGGGACCATGGTCATCATCTGGTCTGACCTCCTGTATAACAGACTATAGAACTTCTCCAAAATGATTCCTAGAGCATATATTGTTAAAAAAATAGCTGTCTTGATTTAAAAATGGCCAGTGATGGAGAATCTACCAGAAAACATGGCAAATTGTTCCTTTGGTTAATTACCCTCACTGTTAAAAATTTACGCTTTATCTCTGGCCTGAATTTGCCTATCTTCAACTTCCAGCCACTGGGTCAAGTTGTACTTTTGTCTGCTAAGCTGAGAAGCCCATTATCAAATATTTGTTCCCCATGTAGTTTCTTATGGTGGTGGTCAGTGATCTCTCAGTGTTTGAGGATGATTGTCTTCCATAAATGAGTAACCGTTTAGCACTGGTGGATCTGCAGATGGTTAATGAGATGGATCCGGGACCCACAGATCTTGTCACAGTTGGGGCAGACATTTCTCAGTGGAAGGGGTGGATCTGGATTGTTGAGTCAGGCTACAGTGCTTTTTTTTCCTGTCTCCATTGGATCTCCAAATATTGGGATCCTTGCCACAATGTCTTTTTCCATTTTGATTGGTTGAGGGTTTTGGTTTTCCATGAATTTGGATTTCCCATGTATGGGTGTCCTTGAAGCGCTTTTTTTTTTTTTTTTGCCTGCCCCTTGTCTGTTGGCCATGGCTCAGTTGTGAGAACATGACCTGCTTCGGGAGTTGATTGAATGTGGAAGATGTCTGTGTGTAAATTCTTTTAATGTGGAGACAACGTTGCATACCAGTGTTCACATGGTGCTTGATAGCATGAGGATCAAAATTCAATGGCAAGGAGACCAAAACGATTGGAGATCTTCATCCTGCTGCAGCCTTCACCCGCCTGATATGCCGTTGAGGACTTGGGGGGACGGGGGGGGGGGGTTGGATTGCTGTTCGTCTGGAACCTCACCTTTGACCTTGCTGCCTTGGGTGACCCTGCCAGGAGTGCAAGACTCCTGAAGGCATCCCTCTCAGGATCATGGGGGCACTCAAGCCATTCCACCACATCAAGGTTGCAGTTCACTGGGGCGGAGTTACTTATAGACTGTGATAGTCATGCCGTAACCTTCTCTTTGTTAAGCTAATTAGATAGAGCTCCTTAAGTCTATCACTATGGAATTTTTTATAATCCTTTAATCATTTTTGTGGCTCCTCTCTGAGCCCTTACCAACATCCTTCTTGAACTTTTTCTTGCAGAATATGGTGCCCTTTTTAAGGGCTGACCTGTGCCAACAGATTCCTTGTGCAAGGGCTGACTATCTAGTAACTGTAGTTCCTA